CTCTTAGGTTAAATCCTTAAGAGTAAAGAAGATAATGGGGATGGGTAATTGGGTTGATTGTTTGAGTGTTTAAACATAATAATTATATTATTGTGGGTTGAAAACCCTATGTACTCACCAGGTTTCCCAACATGACCCACTCAGTTTATTTATATCACAAGTGTTGATACGAAGTCACATTACACTGAGAGATTAAAAGAGATGTAGATCACTAGTGTAAATAAATGTAAGTTTCGTTTATGCTTATGTTTCTGTATTGACAATGACATCCCAAAAGTTTTAAAATGAATAAAATACGTTTCTTCGAAAATGTTAGATAACGTATTTATCGTATTTTTCTGGGAACAAATTCCGCAACATTTTATGAAAAGAAGTACTCTGATTTTTATAAAGAATAAACAAAATCGGTCTTTTCTGGCCGTGAAAATTAGGGATGTCACACAGAGAGCTAAATTACCAGAAACAACGACAGCAAGATGAGTTCCATCGATTACTTTCTTTTTCACCCGAAACAAAACTGCAAATCAAATTTTAGATTCGTATGAACAAATCATCTAGAAGATGAATTTAGAAGTTTTAGGTGACAAACGTTTCCAAAAAAGAAATGAAATAGGAAAACTACCTAGTACGAAGGTCGTCTAGCATCAAATATGACATCCGTATGAATTTTGTCGGGCTATTCGGATCTGTATACCTCCATCTCCATCCTCACCCCCAAAATCGCTCTTAAAAGCTAAAACAAAGGGAATTCCAATAACAAAATAAACAATACAAGCCATTAATCGGTCGTCATGAAATGAAGGTCAATACCTGTAATGAAATAGAGTGGTAGTAGTGTTGAAGAAGTGTGATTGAAAGAATAAAAGATTTAAAGTGGTGAATAAGCCGCTTTGCTTGTCATAGTCAAGTCGCCGAAACCTAAATCGGAACTTGATCGACGATCATCTTTGTCATCGCTCTAATCCCATCTTCACCGATAATTTGTCTTCATTCCATGGTGGCGCTGATTTCACCGTTCATCATATCTGGAATTAGCAACATGTAGAAGTGAATAATCGGGCGGAGATAGAGAAAAAAGGAAAGAGAAACGATGGTCTAATTCCAAAGCGAGTCGAGGTAGAGAATAGTCTTTAATCGAGAGAGAGAGAGAGAGAGAGAGAGAGAGAGAAAAGAGAGAGAGAGAGAGAGAGAGAGAGAGAGCAGACAGTGGTGATGGTGGTTCTCAAATAGCTTCTAGAGAGAAACAGGCATACAGGTTGAGGAAGGATCCAAATGAAACGGTGGGTTCTAGATTAGATCAACAAAAATCGAAAGCTGATTGGCCAAAAAAACGGCGGACACAACTGTGAGTTACACATGTCCATAAACAATATACAAAATGACAAAAAAATGCTCACACAAAAACCGACAACAACATTAGACAGAAGAGAACACCCAACCATAAATAAGGACCAGTTTTGCCAAACCCTTACGACCTATGGACCGAACATTAGTGCAAGGACCAAAGTGACATTTCAATAAATAAAGGGATCAATTTTGCCAAATCCTTAGGGAGTATATTGTTCCTTTTTTTCACATCTTTAAATATATATATATATATATTATAATATATATATTATATTATATATATAATATATATATATATATTATATATATATATATATATATATATATATATATATATAATAATTTTTGAGCAATTACATCAAATTACTTAATTATATAGAATTATGTTATTTCTTTTCTTTACCCGTTTAATACAAAGAAATATACAAACTTTATCAAACTAACCATATCATTTAGGATCACGTATCCTTCAATGCGACCTACTTGGCATTTTGAATAACATGAAGTTGTTTGATAATTATGAAGATTTGATGCAATGACATTTAAAATATAAGTAACAAATCGAGCAAATTTTCAAGGAAATTCAGATAATTGTATATGATAATTTTGCATCATTGTTAGAATTTAATGTATATGTGTTTGTGTAATTGTCACAACAATGAAGTTAAAAATAAAAAATAAAAAATAAAAAAAAAAAAAAAAAAAAAAAAAAAAAGACAAATCAATTACCTCTCAGAAATTATTTGTATAAATGAAACTAATCGTATTCATCAGCATTGTATAGTTATTTTATTTTTATTTACAAATATACATGTTTTAATAGAACATATTTTGTCAATTTAATCAAAGCTATTTTTGATAGTAATTGAAAGTATACATGTTTTAATAAATATATTTTGTAGATTATATATAAGGGAAAATAGTTTAATATAGTTTAAAATGCAATTTAGTTTTGCTATTTCAACAAAAGCAAATAGATAGACAATTACAAATATAAGTTTTTTCTATGAAAAAAATTTATATCGGCAACAACAATATGAACATATGAACATATCAGTGAAGAATATTGCTTTGTTACTTAAATGGATTTACTTATTCTTTATTTTCCTTAAAAAAACATTGTTTTAAGAATCTTAACATTTACACATTCCTATTTAATGTTTCTTTTAATCAACTGGTACAGGTATTAACCTAATCATGTAATATTTATATGTGAATATACCACGTATTATTCGTGTATGAATAAATCATTATTAGTATGAACTAACCCTATAATTCGTGTATGAATAAATCATTATTAGTATGAACTAACGCTATACGCATATTTACATTTGAATATATAATGTAATATTCACATATGAATATATCATATAACTATTTACTAATCAATGCCATAATTATAATCGTCATACAACTAGTAACAAAATGAATATACCATATAACATATGCAAGTTATCTTATATGTGAATCTACCGTATAAACAAAATATGCATGTAATATTCACATTGATAACCCTTTTTCCAATAGTTGACATAACTTCTCCGACACTTACCATATTATCAACAAGGCGAAATTTACCATACACTATTTCTAAAATCTAGAAAGATAAGTATGGCAATCACATATTTGCCACGAGAGCTCGCTAAACTTATCAGATTGGGGGACTTATTAGTGTATCGCCCTAATATGGCCACGACCGAACTGAAACACAACAGAATTTATGACCATATTCGAACCGAGAAACAATTCCACAATACCGTTCAAGGTTGGACAGAGCCAATGTATACTTGGCCCAAAGCAATATAAGGGATCAAAAGTATCCCATTTAATTCCAAACGAAGTACTATAAGCTTCCCACAATCACCTCCAGAAAGAAGACATAATAAAAATTGTATAAGGGTGACATGCTTTGGTCCCCTTCCTCAAGCACTATAAATACCTCATCCGTATGGGGTATCTCCATCTAATGAAGTCACATTCTCTCTCTAAAAACTCTCTCGATTAGCTCTCACTAACTTAGGCGTCGAATTGTAATCTCAGGACACCTTTTTAGACTGTGACAAACCCTAGATATTATTTTGTCATCAATAGGTCTTGGAGCATTCTATTCAATCAAGACGACCCTAAAACACTATACATAGTTAAATACATCCTCCATATAAGGTATCTCCAAGTAACAATTTAGTCTCATTCTCGGGAGAGAAAATATAAAAAGAGAATGACTATCACCGTATAAGACTAATTGGTCTTGATGATGTTTTTTTTTTAAATTGAGTTTGATAAAGACTTTGGTTTGACTAATTAGGAAATTTGGGATTCGGTGATAGAATAAATGAAATTTTTGAAAAAAAAAACATCATAATTAGATCCATGGTTATTTCACTTTGAGTCGAGACTCCATCTTTTTAGGCAATGTGACCCGCTCTCTATATTCTTTTTCCTTCTCTTCATGGAAGGATTACATGTCTATGAAGGATGCTTATGATAATAATATCTTTCATGGAACTTTCCTCCCGAATAACAGCACAACCATTTCTCGTTTCATGTATGTTGATGATATGATAGTCGGTGAGGAATGGTCAATTGGTAAATAACAGCCCAACCATTCCTTTGGCAAATAATCTTGTTAATAGGATAATGACATTTCCTCGGTCGCTTGGTGTTGTGGGTAACTCAAATGATGAGATCAAAAGTTGGAACATACATTTTTCCCATGTCCTTTTGTTGTCCGTATCTAGAAGGGGACAAGTTCCCGGTACGAAGCAAGTTTTGGCTCTCCACTATCGCTCCAAAAGTTGTTTGAGCTTGTATTTTTTCACATTTGGAAGGCTACGAATGTGTTGGTGTTCAATGAATCAATAAAAAAAAACCTATGAAAGTAGCAGATAAAATTCAAGCTAGTATTTTTACTTGATTATTTTTCACATTTGGAAGGCTACAAATGCATTGGTGTTCAATGAATCAAGAACAACACCTATGAAAGTAGCGGATAAATTTCAAGCTAGTATTTTTACTTGATTAAAACATATAGCAAAATTTTAATGTGTATTGGGCTGTTGTATCCCAAAATTAGCTTGTTCTTTGCAATTGCTAGGCATCTTGCTTGCTAGTTGTTTTGATTTTGTATAGAATGAAAGGACTTCTGCCCTTCCAAAAAAAAACATAATCATCAATAATTTGAGATATTAGATTTCTACATAAGTTGTTCTTGTCCGAGTTAGTCATTAATTTCCTTAAGTTTATTACAAATTGAATGAATTGACTAAGTTATTTTTTTTTTCTTTATAAAAAAAAAAAAAAAAAAAAAAAAAAAAAGTCATAAGATCGCCACAATCGATTTGTATGAAGTAAAGAAGCGGATACTCGTACAACTACAAATGTTGCAAATGTTGCAAATGTTGCAAATGTTGGGTTGGGTTGGACAGTAAATAAATTAAATGTCAAAGGCGATCTGTGGCTGTGGGTCCGACTGAAATCGACTTTTAGGTTTTGTCAAGTAAAAACATTAGGCTCAAGGAATTGGATTTTATTTAGGTTTTGTTGTGGAGTTTTCATCCATCCTGTAATAATGTGGTTAAAGTTTTGTTTGTACACAGCGCAGCAACAACATACAAACATGAAATGCATTTCGAGTTTTTGTTGAAAAACTATTAGCCGCTAACTAAACACAAAGCATGAATCCATGAATGAATGAATATATTTCAATTGTAAAAAAAAATAATAATAAATGTATGTTAATTGTGCACCCACTCACAACTATAGAAGGATGTGAAGAGAGATGCTTAAAAATCCAACCGATCACTGAAATGAAATCAAACAACGACTGCAGGAGGATGTAAAAAGAAAAAAGAAAAAAAAAATCATGACATGTATGGTTTTTATACAGAAGAGAAGATGCACAACAAGCGTCTAGAAAAACAAAATAATAGTAATAATAATATTGTAGTAGCATGCATTATCTGAAAATATAATCTATCAACTAACCAACCAACCTATAAGAAGAAGAAGAAGATGCAGATTCGCAGTAGTATTGTATGTTCAACCAACCACTCCAATGGTCCATTCTTGCTTCATTCCACTACACAACAACATTAAAATCTTTACATCATCAATTACACAAGACAAGACGGTAAAAAAAAAAAAAAATCAAATAAAACTTATTCAACATATAAAACCAACATGCATGCATATTTGCATATTTAGAGACATAACATAACCACCAAACAACCAATGCATTATGTATTATTATATTTATACCAATAGTCAATAGTACAGTACAGCCACAGGGAGGGATATCCATCCTTATTACTTTCAACTGTCGCCCCTATTCAGTATTCACCACTCACCAGACACCAGTACAGTACTCAAGTCTCAAACCAAACAATAATAATAATAATAATAATAATAATAAGAAGAAGAAGAAGAAGTGTGTTGTTTTCATATCATAGAATTAGATACCAACAAACAAACTCATCATCCTTCCCTCACAGTACGTACTAATATACAAGCATCAATACTCAACACATCTGTTTTTCACTACAACTCATCAACCTCCAAATTCTTACTCAAACAAAAAATGACTCATGCTTATTATTTTCTAAATCCAACTAAAATATGCAACTGAACCCTATTAAAACACTTGAAACATTGCAATTCTTAATTTAACATTAACACAAATGTTCTAAACAATATCAAATTCAAAAATCATATACTAATATAATGCACAACTGTCACGATACAAATACACATAAACCTTTATATACTTATTATAGTATTATAGTAAGGTAAGTTATTTAATATAACAAATGTGATACCATATATTCTATTTAAAATACAATAATACAACAGAACAGCTACTATTTGAAATACAATAATACAACAGAACAGCTACTATTTGAAAAGAGTCATTAGGTATTCAGCTTCAGCCATTCCATCACAAGTAACACAAGTCAGTGCTATTAATTAATCTTCTACAATTCCCCAAATAGCCCAGCCCCAGCCCTTAAACATGAAAAGTTTACACTCAAAACTATAATAATAATAATAATATCTCAATTCTCAACAACTCAACTTTATTTACTCCTCAAACTACAAACACTGCAACTCATGCAGCTTCACTGGTCATGATCATTGATCAGGTAAAAGATTATCACATCCACAAAAAAATGTACTCTACATACTGAATGCACTTCTCAAAACAAGATACTAAAATACAGGAAACCATCTCCAACCCATAATCCCATTTTTTTAACCAAAACAAATTCTTAAAAATTGGAATAGCTTCTTCTTTTTTTTCTTCTTTTTTTAAACAAAAAAAAAAACTCTCGGATTTATTAGCTTTTACAGACTTCATAAAACTTGCGTTTTAAATAATAAAAAAGTAGTACATTTTTATTAAAGTTTGAAACATAAAAATCAAATTTAGTATACTGTATACATAACATATTATCATCAATTTAATATCACAGGTAACAATATGCTATCAACTAATGAAAATCATACCAAAACACTGAAAGATTAATGGTATTCAAATAAATGTTTAAGAAAAAAGGATAGTTTGGCATGTTTGAAAAGCCACTCTCCCAATGGCCAATATCTTATAGGCTAACAACCCCTGTAACAGAAAACCAACCTAAAATGCCACTCTTTGTTTCCCTCCCATATTACCCTTTCCTTTTCTATAAAACATGCATAGCACAATAGTGAATATAGACTATTATTATACAAATAATAAACTGGTTGAAGAACCAATTTGTACTGGTGGGTTGGAGACTTGGAGCAACTTCACACCAAAATTAGTGTCCCCAATTTTTTTCAAATTCATCTGCTAATGATATGCATATGCCAACTAATTTGGTAATTTCAGACACAAATATAGCATGCCTACAGCCTACCTATGTTGTTGGCTTATTTATGAGCCATTATTTTTAATGAGACAACAAGCTCAACAAGTAGATTCTACAAACAATTTCAAATGTTCATTTCTGAATCATCAAAAGAGCAAGTGCAACACCCTTCCACAATGAAAATTACTCTTTGTACTTTAGATTTGCATATTTTAAGAGTTTGATATCAATACAAAAATCAAGATTTCCTTATGTTAGATTCATCATGCATTCCCATCTCTGAGGCTGTAGGAAACCAGTGGAACCTTTAGTGAAGAATTGTGCAATCTTAAGTTTAAAAACCTTGACAAATTTAAGGATTATTTCCTCCGATGTTACCATTCATTTTATTTGAGCATCATATAATCAAAAGCATAGTGCTGACCAATATTAACATCAGAGTGTGTGCAGCGCACATAATTGTGGTTTAATACTGCTTCTACATATGACATACATGCCTTCTAATTCAAAAGAACAGGAACCCAATTCTTTACTTAGATGTTAGCAATTAGCAAAAATCAATTCCCCAATAAAGTTTTTTTTTTTTTTTGCTAATCTGTAACATATTATATAGGCAGATGTAATGGGTAAGTAAACTATTTGACAATATAAAGTATGCAGATTTATACTAACCGATCATCAGCCAAGATCTTCCTGTCTTGCCTGACCACCACTTCCTGAGTTGGAATTGCCTGAGTTGTTGTTACCTGCTCCACTATTGCTTGACTCAGCAGATGTGCCAAACCCAGTAAAAGGCCAAGGCAAGTTAATCCTAAACCTCCTTTCCATACTATTTGGAGTATTGGGATTCTCCTGAGGATCACCACTGCCAGAGGCCACCCCTGGCCCTGCAGCACCCAAAGTTCCACCAGTAGAACCTTCGCGAGACCTGTTCTCATACTCCTGGTCATCGGTGGGTAACTCATATCGACAAACAGGACACGAGTTATGCAGCTCCAACCACGGTACGATGCAATCCTGATGATAAACGTGCTTACACGGCAACTGCTTGGCCTGCTCATGAAGCTCAAAGCTGTCTTTACACACCGCACAATCAGAATAATCGGATTCCAACAGATCATTAGTAATCTTGATGTTAGGTAGGTTCTGAATCACAGATTTTGACGCAGGGGGGGTGCCATATCGATTAGGATCGTTTTCGGCGAGCTGTTGGATCAGTTGCTCTAAGCCCGGGCCAATAAAGTAGTCTCCTAGATTCGCAGGGAGACGAAACCCCGACGGATCACCATCACTATTGTTTTCAATAACAAACTGGATGTTGGCGCCACCTGCTCGTAGAGTGCTGAGATAATTCTGAAGAAATGCAAAAGGATTGAACTCACCAGGATTCTGGAAGCTTCCAGATCGTGAAAGAGGACCGCCAAAGAGAGCAGAGAGATCCGTCGGATTCTGAAAATCTCCGGTAGCCGCGCCGGAGCCACGGGATGTAGTGGAGAATACAAGGGGAAAACCACTGGAGAAAGGAGCAAAAGGCGAGGCATCATCATCAAAGGCGAGAAACGGATTTTGCGTCGTTGGGCTAGGGTTAGGGTTTTCGTATTCTTCAAGGAAGCCACCACTACAATCGGGGCAAAAGAGTTCGGATGAGTCGGTAGGTGAAGGTCTAATAGAGACCGTGCGTTCACACTGGTAACAAAAGTATAACTTAGAGATTGCCCCATGAGTGTTTCCTCCGCCGTCACCGTCTCCGCCGCTATAGACTCCTTGAGACATGGCGTTGATGCAATGGGAAAAGGGTACAGAGCCGGCGGTTGCTATAATTTTTTACAGAGAAGGGAGAAGAAAGTGTGCTGCGTCGTGTTTGAAGAGTGGCGCGTCGATTGTAAAACACTCTGACCAAACAATAGAAACCACAATAAAGGGTTTTATGATTTTTTATAAAATCAAGACAACATTATATAAATGGTCCCTGCATTTTTTTAAAAAAGACCACAGATGGTCCCTATCAGAATTTTATTATGCTGATGGTCCTTTTTGAAAATCTTGCATGTTGCATTTTAGTCCTTACGATGAATAATAATAATAATTAAGGTTGTAAAAATCGTTCGGCGTTAGCTAGTCGGTGGACTGGGGTTAAGGGATTAATCGGCTAGGCGGAGATTAATCGGAGGATTAATCGGGGACCATTAATTGTTAATTTGCTAGATTTTAAAAAATTAAATATGACTAATATCATATAAAAGTTCATAAATGTCACTAATATCATAACAAAATAGGTTAATATGATAAATACAACACTAATCATACCTCATATAGTTTTTATTGAGATACAAATTCTTCAAAGTGTTAAAATTTCATCGAGTTCTACTATTTCAGTCATTGTATATGCAAGGATTAATCGTTAGGCGCTCTCTAATCAATCGAGTAGCGCCTAGGGATTAATCGGAGATTAATTGGGATTTTTACAACACTGATAATAATAATAATACATATAATTAATGGATTACATGTGTCATTGTAAAAAGATTAATAATAGAAAGATTAATAGATAGAATTAATGGATTACATATCTCATTATTTTATAGAAATAAGAAAATAATCACAAACAAAAAAATAGGATATATTTAATTTTTCATCAACAAAACACTTTTACCCTTCTTATCATTTTTCTTATATTTTCATTTTATTTGTATTTTATTCTTTTGTTTTCTTATTTAATCCATTAGTTAGTAATCAATACAAATCCATAGAAACTGAATATTCCCACTCCAACATTGTTTGTGCCTCTCTTACAACCACTAATTTCCAACTTTTCCGATGACCACCTTCCTCTCTCTCTTTCTAATTCTTCTCCACTACTATTGCGATGAAAATGAATGGGTTTAGGTAAGTTCTTGGTCCAAATCTGAAAATATGAAATTAAAAAAATTTATGAAATCAAACCATTGATTTATCGATCTTCTACATCCATATATACATGAACAAAAACAAAGTTGATGAAATTAGTGGTTTCATTTTTACCTCAAAAGGTCCAAAAAACAATACTAACCAACCTTTGGATCTGGAGTTTTCTAAACTTAATAGAAACATGACTAAAATGGACCAAACGTGCTCATAATGCTAGATCTATAAGCAAGGAAACATAAAAATTGAAGCTTTAACACTAACAAAGGTACAGAAGATGATGAGAGGGTAGGAACTTATCTATATCTAGCTTCATATGCACCAACACATCTTGCTTGTTCACCAAGAATCACCAAAACACTAACAAAACAGAATGATGGAAGGAGATAGGGTGAGTTTTTTCTCTCTATGGTTTCTGGAGGATAGAGGTTGCAGAAATGATAACTTGAAACATCCCAAAAACTTTCAGGCAAAATTTTACTTTTAAATCATTTCAAACATCCAATAATCGTATCAGAACAACCAAAAGTGTAGCATAGTGAATGATAGTAATAATATCATAGTACAAATCCTAAAATCACATAGTGCAGAAAATATGGGCGGATGTGGTGCGATCAAGCACAAAGTTAACATACATACATAACAGTCAAAAACTATAAGCACAAAGTTAACATACATACATAACAATCAAAAACATATTTGGTCTAGTTCACCCGCTTCGCTATCTTTCAACTGGTATTTGGTCTATTTCACCCCCTTCGGTATCTTTTAATCGGTACTAGGTCTATTTCACCCCCTTCGATATCTTTCAACCGATACTCATTGGTTTCATAAATCTTATTATTGTCATGTTTCTCACCTTTCAGTCCCTTGAGCTTGTGTTTTTTGAGTTAAGACAACTCCAAAACCTCACTATTGGGACTTTTTGGACTTGGAAAGTTGTGCTTGGGTACTTGTGCTTTAATTCATGCAAGTTGTGTTATCATTTTTGGTCATTTTAGTGCATAAAGTTTAGATCTTGCTTGGTGGGAGTATCTTAATATGTAAAGTTGGAAACTTTATCCATTAAGACATTGTAAAGGTCCATATTGGAAAGTTTAAGGGATTAGCTTTTTTTATTAAGAGATTAATAAATTTTTTGGATTTATGGGGCTATGTTGAGCGTAGCTTCCTATATGATGAGAGTGGGAAGGTCCTCTATGCTGAGAGTAAAGTTGTATGATACGTTAAGCATAGGTTAGCTGAGGATTGGCCATTGACTTTTTGAGTGGTTTGACTTTTGGTCAATTGTGTTAGGATTTAGTTTTGGATGGGAAACTGATATTTTTCCTAAAGGAGGATTAATTGTGAACCAAGACTCTTGTGAGTTAGTTATTACCTTAATTGTTGGTTAGGGTTTATGATGTGTATATTTAGTGTGAGGAAACTTGGTATCATCAGCTCAAGTACGTGGATTATATTGTCTTCAGATTGAGGTGAATTTCTCACTATGCCATGTATCCCATTGTAAACCCTTTGCATGGTAGGGGAGAGGTACTATCATAGTAAATGTATGCTAGCGACGAGGATAACTCCTTTGATATATATGTGCAGTTTAGGACACTTAGTGTCTTAGTATGTTAGACTGGTAGGATTTTGCCTATTGGTCGTACGGTATAGTTAGGATTTATGTTTGGATAGGGTAATTAAAGAAATCCATTTACCAGGATTATGTATGTTTGACTAACGAAGGGCTCCATTAAGAAGTTGTCATACACAGGGTAACTAGGGGAACACTAGTTTCCAAGGGAACATACTATGTTAATTTATGTTATGAGTTTAAGCTATATTGTTATGTGGTAGTGATAGCTTGGGTTCTATGTAGTCTAATTTGGATAGCCAAAGAACTTTTGGTCCAATTCTTTATTGTGATGTTATTTTCTGATTGTTCGCTCTCGGGTGGATCATATGTTTGAATCTCTATCTGATCCCTGACTACATATAACTTTGTATTTCATGGAAAGGCCACAGGGGTACCGCATGGAAATTATATGAAAGACCACAGGGGTAACCCATGGCACTTACTTATAAGACTAGGATGTAGCCCATGGCATTACAGGTAAAAGACCATGGGAGTAGCTCATGACACTTGCTTGTAAGACCATGGGGGTAGCCCATGGTATCGCACGGGAAAGACCATAGGGGTAGCCTATGGCACTTGATTGTAAGACCATGGAGGTAGCCCATAACATTACAGGGAAATACCATGAGGGTAGTGTATGACTATGATTTGGCCCATAGCATTCACCCGGGGGTTGGAGCAAACTCGTTATTTCATGTTGCTAGGAGATTTGGTTGTTCGACGCTAGAGCCGAACTGTAACATCCCAAAATTCAAGGCTAAAAATTTCCTTTTTTTTTTAAATAAGTTATTACCTAAAACCATCAGTATAAAAACATTCATAATAATATCTCGTGCCAAACCAAAGTGCCAGTAATCAAAACATATTATCATAAACCATATCAGAGTGTAATCCCAAAGATCTCATGTGCGGAAAACATAGTGTGATGCGTTGCGATCGAGCCGGCTCCTTTCCTTTGAAAACGAAGTACCTGAAACCAAAACTGAAAACCGTAAGCATGAAGCTTAGTGAGTTCCCCTATCATACCACATACAATATAATCATATAAATACTATCAGGCATATCTGGGTGCCCGACCTACCCCTTCGATCCTCTCGACTGGATACTGGCTAGCATATCTGGGTGCTGACCTCCCCTCCGGTCCTCTCGACCGATACTAGCTAGCATATATGGGTGCTGGCCTCCCCTTTGGTCCTCTCGACCGGATATTGGGGACTATTTCATCCCTCTACTACTACCACATAACATATATCACATAATCATATTCTATCTAGTTTGACTGGGTATGACTACCCCTCTTCGACCCTATCGACCGGAAATCTTGGGGACTATCTCCCCAACTGCTACTAGCATATAACATCATATCATACTAGCACATAACATATCAGTTAGAAGCAAACCTAGATGAATATCACAAAGACAATTATCTAACATACAACTCCTACTGGTGGGCCGGCATTGTGGTCGTAGACCCACCGCTACTGCAAGGTAACTCACCTCACACTGCTGAAGTCCCGCATACACAATCCCACACTTGTTGAAGTCCCGCAGACTCGACCCCAACTGTTGGCTGACAAATTCCCGAACTATCAACACCAAAATAACACCTAATTAATAATTGGGTCCCAATACATAACCATAAGTACATTCTTTGGGTAATTACTACATTACCCCTAGCTTGGCTTATTCAAGCCCAATGCCCAATCCATAGGCCCAAAGTCAATTAGGAATCAAAGCCCAACACATGGCCCAATTTTCCAAATTGGGGATAGGCCTATACATGGTCTCATTCTAAGGCCCAACATCATATAATCATTAAGGCCCAAACTATGTCCCATCTATGGCCCAATTTTCCAAATTAGGCTCAAGCCCCTTACATGGGCCTTACCCTAGGCCCATTAAATTACTCTAGACCATTTGCTTGATCTTGGATAGCCCATTTAATAACCCAATCATCAAGGCCCAATAGAAGGCCCAACAATAAACCCAAGTGAAATTAGGGTTTCATATAACATGATGATTAGGGTTAAGTTTCCTACTTAACCCATTAAGGACTTAATCCATTAAGTCCAATATTGCTTAGATTAATTTCCGCCAATGATTATTATTTAATATCTCAAGTTATTAAATAATTCCTATGTGTCCCGATTAATTTCCCAAAATTAGGGTTTTGATTGCATTAGGGTTTTCCAACCTAAATACTAGCCTATTTATTAATTTGTTGGACTTTTAGGTTATTTAGGGCTTTATTGGGCCTATCAAGCCCACTAGAATGTCATCAAGCCCATTTGGGTTTTATTGGGCCAATTTATGAATTTTTTGGGCTAACAAGGCCCATTAGGGTTTCAAGCATCCCCAATCGTCCAAACGAGTCCAAACACCATCAAAGCACACCGTCACCCGACACGGCGGCCGGTGGCGGCAGGAGGCGGCAGCCACCACCCTAAGGTGGTGGTTTTCAATTTCTTTTATTATTCCAAGCTATAATTTACACTTTACAATGCTGAAGCTCAAAATAAACACCTAGACTAAACAACATAAACACACACACAGCCACCCTGTGGTGGTCGGTGGTGGCAGGAGGTGGCAACCACCACCCTAAGGTGGTGGTGATGTCCTTTTCGAGCAATCTAGTCAACACCCACACGTATCATCACGCCTTCAGCTTGGAGAAGGAAGCCAACCATCCATTTGGTGGCGCATGGAGGTGACATATGGTTTTACGTCGTCAGCCACCACCTCGTGGTGGTGGCGATGGTTCCTTTGGGTCCCAGAGGAACAACGCCCCCACACCCGGATCTTGAATCAGGATCACACCTACATGAACTCATGAAAAGTTGTATCAATGATTCACGGTGGTGGCTCGACTGGTCTCAGTGGTTTTGGCTAGAGCGAGTCGTCAGCGAGACATCGACCAAGAGCAATGGTGGCGCAACAGCGGAAAGAAATAGAGACAGAGGAGATTGGCGACCCAAATAGCAAACCGCAGTAGCACAATCCTTGATCTCCCGACCAACCTGCATCGACTCGTGGCTCCTTTCTCTTCAACGGCGGCGGTGGTGATCGAACTCGAACTCACAGCGACGGTAGCTCCGGTCTGCGAAGTAGCGAGCGGGCGAAGCCTCAACTGACAGCGACTGAAGAAGGAGAATAGGGGAAAAAGGACAATCGTCCGATGGTCATTTGCTGATCGGGAACTTGGAGATGGCAGCGGCTCCGGTGAGGGGGCATAAGGGGGGAATGACGGCTACTACATACGGGAGGGTTTAGGGTTTT